CTCTATTCTCTATTTTCTGTTTCCCATCATCTATTGCCGAGTCTCTATTCTCTATTCGCTGTTCTCTGTTCTCTATTCTCTATTTTCTGTTTCCCATCATCTATTGCCGAGTCTCTATTCTCTATTCGCTGTTCTCTTTTCTCTATTCGTCGTTCTCTATTCTCTATTATCTATTTACTATCCTCCATTCTCTAGTCTCCATTCTCTAGTCTCTATTCTCTATTCTCGAATTTCTATGTTTTTTGCTCTATTCGCTGTTCGATATTCCTTATTCGATATGCTCCATTAAATAATTTTCATGAACGAAGAGAAACTCGGATAAAATTGCATTAGCTACGCTTTATTTCTGCTGAACGTCTAACAACGGGATAAACGCTTGCCCCGGGTGACCGGTCGTGTTAAAAGACTTGTGAAGCTGCGATACTATCAACTAATGGTAGCAGTGCACACTACGCGCACACACCACGTGACGATAACAGCCACCTGATTACCACCGCGACATTAGACAACAACAAAAACAACAACAACAACAACAACAACAACAACAACAACAACTACAACAAGTAGTAGTAGTAGTAGTAGTAGTAGTAGTAGTAGTAGTAGTAGTAGTAGTAGTAGCTTGCCTCATTGCACGACAATTCTGCACGATACGAGGCGCGTCACCGCTCGATGCTGGACGGGCGACAGCAAGCTGAGTTAATCTTTCACGAGCTCACCACACCGATTTTTTGAAAAGGTGAGTTACAAATGGATTGAAATATGTTATTGGATTTCGTTTGAGACACTGGATTCATGGTTTATCTTGTGTTACAATCCAAAGAAATTACTAACGGACTATCGAAAAGTTATTGATTCACCTAGGTAGTTCACTACGCGACGGTAGCGAGATCTCCAACAGAAGAAAAAAAATCAATAGAAAAGAAAAGAATCCACGTTGATACGCTCTTCTGTGAGTTTATCTCCGAAGCACGCCCGCAGCGGTGGGCTGCTGCTGTTCCTATATTTTGCGTTGCTGTATATCGTAACTCCGGGGGTGGGTGGCTGCGTGGTTGTTAAGTGTGTGTCATAGCCGATCGGCGTGACAGTCATAGTCTTTCGGTTGGCCATCTTGGCTTACTAGCAACGACCTTTGGCCGTTTCCCCCCCCATCGTATCACAATGACCCGATGACCGCCATGTTGGACATCTGCGTGTATCATCCAAGCATGCGCGGACAGTCTCGTAGTCTAACGGGATCGTGACATCAGCTAAGGCCCAGTGATAGATGTTGCGTCGTGACGGCGATGTCGATCTGGGACATTGATGAATTGAGCATGCGGTCCGACGTGCTAGCGAATTGAACACGAAGACCGTTCTGCTGAGGACACCTGTCACTACATCAAAGCCTCGTTAATCGCAAAGTAATTACGACATTACGATGGCCGCAATTTACAATGAAGCCCGAGAAGCTTCTAATGAACGACTAGAAGCAAACTATCCACC